TAAGTTTGTCATAGTATGTTACAACAGCAACGGGAAACTACTACAATACCCCAGAATGTGTCCCTGATGAAACGACTTGGGAAAGATGGGAGATCCTGAAGGACTTCTCCAGACTGTGTGTGCTGTTCCTGGAGATACCCCATGTGCTTTTCCCCCAGCTTACGTTTTAAGGAATATCTTGAGAATCTGGGGAATGTCTGTGGCAACCTGACCCCCACTGCCACTCAGAAAGGGCTCTGAAGGAATGGGGCTGAGGATGGGTGAGTCTTGGAGGGAGAGGTTAGGGCTTCTCAGGGCATGGTTCTCATGGATTCGTCTGCTTGGGCCACCATAACAGACTATCCCAGACTGAGGGGCTTAAACAGCAGAAATTTATTTCTCACGGTTCTGGAGACTAGAAGTCCAAGATCAAGGTGATGTCAGGGTTGGTTTCTGGTGAGATCTGTTTTCCTGGTTTATAGATGGTGTCTTCTTGCTGTGTCCTCAAGTGGCCTCTTCTCTGTGCACATGCAGAGAAAGAGATAGAATGAGAGAGTGAGAGACCAGTCCTAGGGGAGCAGGGCCCCACCTTATGACCTCATTTAACTTTAATTACTTCCCTTAAAAGATGAAGTCTCCATCTCCAAATGCAATCACCTTGGGGGTTCGGGTTTCAACGTATGACTTTTTGGTGGACACAGTTCAGTCCATAATAGCTGGGGTGAGAGGGTAGGATGGGCCAGTGGCCTCAACATGAGAATTCAAAGGACTAGATAGCCCATGATAGATTAATTTTTCCATTGACATCCAGAGCAACAAACAGCACCATTCCCAGGAGGCAAGCTTCACCCCGAGCAGAGGTGGGTTCTGCTCAGCCCACTGAGTGTTTGTAACAATGATGAATGGAAACGCCTCTAATTAAATGGGGGCTCTTACTGTCCTGTCTGCCTGGTCCCCAATACTGTCAGCTCACTGTTCAGGTAACCTGCCAGCCCTGGCAGGCATGTGAAGTCATGACCTTGCTCTAAAGGACTGAGTTGTGATAAAAGATGAAATGAGGTAACAATAGTTAACATTCGTAGAGCACCAAAGATATGTGCTTGATACACGGTAACTCATCCAATGCCCAAAACAGGCTCATGTGTTAGGAAGTATCATGTCCATTTTACAGGTGAGGGACCTGAGGCACAGAGAAGGGGCCCAAGTCCCATACCATGTTATGAGTTCAACTGTGCCCTCCCAAATTTGAAGCCCTAACCCCTAGTATCTCAGAAGATGACCTTATTTGGAAATAGGGTAGTTAAGATGAGGTCACACTGAAATGGGATGTGCCTTTAATCCAATATGACTGGTGTCCTTATAAAAAGGGGAAATCTGGACACAGACACTCACATATGGAGAACACCATGGGAAGATGAAGGCAGAGAGCTACAAGCCAAGGAACACCGAAGATCACCAGCAAACCAGAAGCTAGGGGAGAGGCCTGGAGCAGATTATCCCACACGGCCTCAGAAGGAACCAACCCTACCACCTTGGTCTTGGACTTCCGGCCTCCAGAACTGTGGGACAATGAGTTTCTGTTGGTTAAACCACTCAGTTTGTGGTACTTTGTTACGGCAGCCTTAACAAACTAATACGCTCAGTCATTGGTGGAGTCCAGATTCAAACCCAGGCATTCTGGCCCAAGTCCAGGTTCTATACTCGGGTGCTCTGCAGCCCTCTGATGACTCTTGGAGACACTTCTCACCAAGCCTTGCTCATCGCAGGTACTCAGAGCAGGGGAGCTGTTAGTCTTAGCTCTGCCTCTTCTCAGAGAAGGGCCCCTTGCCTTTCCAGGCAGCCAGGTTTTCTGCCCTTCGCCCACCATATTCAGTCAGAGCCAGGGGCTCCCAGGTCTGTATCCCCAGGGGATCCCATGTCCATCCTTCCCTCTCTACTGCTACAGCTGCGCTAGGGGCTCTGTGCCCATATACAAGTGAGGAAATTGAGATCCAGAGATGTGAAGTGCTGGCCCCACAGCACAGGGTGAGTGGAGAAGCTGGGATTGAAGCCCTCCTGGTCTCACTCCAAATTTCCAGCACCTCCCCCTCCACTGGGGAGATCCCTCTGGCTTCCTGGCTAGTGGCAAGTCCCCACGTGGTAACTGTTTGTTGAATGAGAGGATGAATAACCGAACGAACCCCTGATGCATCTCTACACACCCACTTACGAGAGCCTTGCAGACTCGTCACCTCCACTGGCACTGGGGTCCCCCACTACACCAGTGATGCTCATGGCACTCTTGCTGCCTCCCTCTGCCCTCCCACTGCAAAGTATATAATGACTCCCCTTTTCCTGCTGGAAGAGAGCTCCTGAAATCCCAAACACACACGGCCCCTCTGAGTGCTACTGCTGGTCCCAGAGAAGTGTGCCGCCTGAGTGCTGTAACAAAGGCAACACAAATAAGAGACCATAGGAGAGTGGCAAACGGAAGATCAGGAGGCCCGGGAGGACCACCACTCTTGGGACAAGGTCTCTTGCACAGAGTCCATTTTTTTAATGTTCCAAAAGGTCATTTTGAAATCTGAGAAGCTGGACTAAATATTTACCCAATCAATTCCAGGGACAGTGTCAGGGGCTGGTGATATGGAACAAACAGCTGGGACCTTGCTTAGGGCACAGCCTTTTCCATTCATTCATTCATTCATTCATTCATTCATTCACAAAATATTGGTTGGGCCTCAGTCACATACAGACCATACGGTCAGCACTGGGGCCAGTTATTGGGGTGAGTGAAGGGAATGTAGGGTGAACAGGGCCCTGCCTTCCAGATGTTCCATCTAATAGGGATGGTGGGGCCAGAGATGAATATCAGCCAACCACGTTTGATGGTGGGATGACAGTCGCCTTTAGGAAAGACATGAGGCATTTATAGGAGAGCCTGGCATAAGGCAGATTCTCAGAGACGAGGAAGGGAGCGTTCTGGGTGATAGAATCCAGGGGCAAAGGCCTGCAGGAGGGAAGCTATGGGCAACCTGGGAAAACAGCAAGACTTTCCATGACCAAAGTCATTGGATACATGAGAGCAAGAGGAGGGACTGAGGCGAGAGAGGCAGGCAGGGACCAGATCAGGGAGGGCCTTGACTGTGGATAGAGGAGTCTGAACTTGACCTTGTAGGCAATAGGAAGCCACTGAGTGCTTTTGAGCAGAGGAGGGATGAGCTGAATCAGAATGAGGAGGCATCACTCTCAAGACCAAACTGAGGGTGACTGCTCCCCTCCTCTCCCCTTCATCACCTCAGGGCTTCACTCACTCACACACCACCCCAGCGGTGCCATTGTCATGGTAACCCCAGGCCTTGGCCTTCTTTCAGGCTTGTCTGAGACTCTTGAATCCACTCAACCACCTGCCTCTGTAGGGGCAGAGTTGGGAGTGGATCAGCCTGGGCCTGACTTTACTTCTTGCCGGACTGTTGAAAAACAGAATCCCACTTCCTGGCAGGTGCAGGAGGAAATGGACCAATATGTGAGGTCACATTTCTGCTTTTCAGCCAATAAACCAGGAGGCAGAAAGGAAACTGTGCAGTCCTCTGAGCCTTGGAGGGCCTGGGGTCCTGAGGCATCTCCAGGTCCTTGACCAGGTAGCCCGGAGCTGGTGTGGTGAACACTGGAACAGTCTTGCTCAGCAGTGTCCTCATTTGGGAACTTTCCTTTGTCAATATTCCTCTGAGGCTGTCCTGTCGAGCTTAGGGCTGTGTTTTAGAGTCAGGGAGGGAAAGAACCCCAGAGGCTTCTCGCTCCCTTCTGCAATGGCTTTTTCCACCATAAAACAGTCATTTGTCTCTCGTTCCAGATGTTGGTTTCCTGGTTTCCCGCAAAGAGCCTATTCCTGTAGCTGCGGCATTATTTCGGCCGGGGACCCATCCCTGGAATATTGCGACTCTTAAACAATCGTCAACACCAGAGGTAGCTCTCAGCCTGCTCTCCTCGGTCACCAGGGAAAACTCCGGGTTTGTGACAGTGAGACCTGTTGTCATCAAGGACACCCACAGCACCCTGCCCAGAGAAAAGCGTTTGCCAGAAATGACTGAGGTTTGCTGTCAGCCTGCCTCCTCCTGTGGGAAGGGTAGCGGTTTATTCTCGTGGACTCCGGTAGACCCCCCCAAGAACATTCACCCCACACACTCAAAGACGGTCTGAGCTGGATCAGTTGGGCCAGCCCTTATTATCCAGGTGGGGAAACTGAGGCCTAAGAGGGGAAGGGATTTGTCCAAGGCCTCAGAGCGCATCAGTGGCAGAGCCAGGAAGTACAGACAGGTCTCCAGTCTCCAATCTCACGCTCTTTCCTCTTCTCCAGTGCGTCCCATGACCACAGCCGTCTATTCTGGGAGATATACTGGCCACATCTCCATGGCCACAGGTTGGGGCAGTGCCTGTGCCATCCTGGGTGGCTGCCCACCGCACTGAGCTTTCCTCACCATCTCTCTGTGGCAGCCCCCTTGGTTGGTGCTCTCCCTGCCAAGGCCTTCTGAGCCTCTGCTCTGGAACAAGGCACCCATCTGCCTGAGGGCAGCTGGCCCCACACCCCTTCCCCTTCGGCACATACCTCACCAACCCATTGGAACTTGGAGCGCCTCACCTCTGTGTGTGGGACCAGGTATGTCAGGGGAGTGCAGGAAAACCCCAGAGCGATGGGAAAGGGACGCATTCATAGAGTATCTACTGTGTACAAGGCACCGAATCAGGCTCCTCGTAGCCATCATTTTGTTTAATCCATACAACCACCCTGGAGAGTTTCTCCAACTTTCTGGGATGGAAACTTGCTCAAAGAGGTTAGATGATCTGCCTGAGGTTACACAGCCTGGGGAGCTGGGTGTCCAGTCCACACCCATCTCTTGCCACCTACATCCCTCCCCCTCGCCAACAGCTTCTGCCCTGGACTCTCGCATCTCCTTCGTCCCGCACTCAGTAGAGAGCTGCTCACACCCAGCCCTCCAGGCCACGTCCTCCTGCTTGTAACAGACAAGCCAGCCCTGGGAGGGCTATGGTTTCCTGGGGTTGATCACCTTGCCCAGAAAGAGGATGCTCTGAGTGTTGCTGGAAAATGTCACTGCCAGGAAGGGCCGGTTGAACCAAAGGACTTGGTGATTGTGCAGGGCGGACAAAAAGATGCCAAATCTGCTGGTGGCCACTGCAGCCCGAGTGCTAACCTCACCCACCTCGAGGACGGCCTTGTGGAAACTCGGGGAGGGAAATCACAAGCGTTGCCTCTGAGAGAACGTGAGTGGGGGTTTAGGAAAGACTGGGGGAGCCAGAGATCGCTGGACATCCATACTACATGCAAAGCCACTAGTTGGGGATGTCACAGCAAGAATTTCTACACTGGGCGGACTGTTGAGCTGGGTGACCCATTATTTATACAATAATAATTCATTAATTATTGAATGATAATAATAACGATAATAATAATAATCATTAATTGAGCACTGACATGTGCCTAGGCTCTTTTTAATCTTCATAACTACTCTACGAGGTCGATGTGTTACGTCCACTTTACAGATAAGGAAAATAAATCCAGAGACTAGGTAACCCCCTCATGCTGTGGGGGCTGGAACTGCAATTCAAACTCTCCAACCCAAGGTTCTGCCCTCTAGCGACCTTTTGTCTTACTGAGCTCAACTCGCAGGTTCCTTTCTCTCGTCTTAAGAAATCCCTTGATGCACATGCATCCAACCCAGCCTCATCTATATCCTTCCTCCGTGTCTGTCATTGCATTGGTCGCTCTCCATGGCCATGATCTGTGAGGCGCCGTCTCCTCAACTTGACTGGGAGAGCTCTCTGTGGGCAGGGGCTGGGTGGACACTACCCCAGCACCAAGCGCCACGCTCAGCACGTGGTGGGTTGGTGCGTGGATGTCCGTGCCTGTGGACGACTGAACAGACTCGGGCTCTGAGACTTCGCGTGGTGACGGAGAGAGCAGCAGCTCCCGAGGGGTGGCAGTTCCCACCGGGGTCCCCAGGGGTGGATAGCTACCGATGACTTACCCTGGACACCAGCAGGTTTAGCTGTTTGGTGACACCAGACAAGGCAGCCCGCTGCGAGAACAGGTCCGTGAAGCCCAGCTCGGGCAAAATCTGACCTAATTTATGGAGCCGGAAATGGAGAACTTGGGGAATACAGCTTGAGCTCCCCGTAAAAACACCTAAAAGAGGCATGGGGTTAAATAGGGGCCTTGTGAGCAGGTCAGGGACCCCAGCGGGCTGTGCTCTCCTTGACTGCACTCTCTAGCTGGCTCCACTCCGTCTGAGTTCTGTCACCACAAACACCCATTTCACCATGTCAGCCGGTGGCTTAAGGCCTGGCTCCTTCCCCCTAGGGCCTGCTGTTGAGGGAGCTCCTTCCCTTGAGAGCTCATCTTCAGCAGAGGTTGCTTTCTGTGGGCGTGCCAGGCGCCCAGGGAGATGCAGGTGTCCCTACATGTCAGTTTAGTCTTTGTCTCTGATGGGGCCCTGTGGGTTTTGCTTGTTTGCAACCAGATGATTTCTTTGGATCAAATTCCTCTGCCACATGAGTTGCGTGAATTTTCTACCACATATGGCCTCGGGCTGAGTTCCTTTTCTTATATATGGTTGGAGACTTTTCCCACCCATAGCCCCAGGGTGATGTGAAACTTCCTTGCTACTTCCTGAGGCTGTGGATGGAGTTTTCTTAAACCCCTCCATGCCGGCTCAGTCAGCCGTCTTGACTGGAGGTCTACCCATTCAGCGTACACGGGTAGACCCTCCAAGAGCCAGTGTCACTTCACCCAAGTCTTGTGCAGTACAAGGGCCACATCTGGAACCAGGACTCTTAACACCTAGTCTGGTTCTCTTTTCACCAATGGGGGTGGATATCTTATTTTAGAAAATGGAATCCTATTTTAAATGCAATAGAAGAGTTCATTATTTAAGGAAACCCGTGGAAAGTCTTAGAGCAAATGAGAATTCTTCCATAATTTGACCGTCGCCTCCTATTCGGGGGCACTGGCTTCCATTAGAAGGGTCCATTTGAAGGGCAGTGCTGCAGATTCATCATCACGTGGCACATGTATTATCTCTTCTGGAGCAAGTTGTTCCACCTTGTTAGCATCTCTGGAGTCAAACCCTCTTCCATTTGTTTCATTTCCCCTCGGTTAGGAAGGATGAAAAGGTCTGTTGTGTTTCCTTTGTAACCCATCCGCAGCACTGAGCAGGGCAAGTGTCTGTCGTGAAGACGCCAGTGGTGCTGCGTATTCTGCAGTATCATAGGCACCTTGACTGCTGTGTCCTCAGCAACATAGAAGTCTTGGGGAGAGGTTGTTTAGAGAGTGAATGGCTTCTCCCACAGAGCTGCAGGGAAGAAGGAAAGAAGGTACAGGGCATCCGTGGACCAACAAGCCAATCCTCCAGCCAGAGGATGCCCCCCAACTGTCACTCTAGACCCCCACCTTACCATCCCATCAGTGGGTACCAGATCACTCAAAATCTGATAGGCCTGGGGAATGGATTTCTCGGGGCTCATTAAGTTCTAAAGTGAGAGATTCCAGAAGATATTGACAGGTTGTTTCGTGTCTTCACCAATTACTTGAACTGTTGCACTTAGAAATTTTGCCAACCTGATGTTCGTATAGTGATGGCTCATTGTGGTTTTGATGTGCACTTTCTTGGTTAAAAATGAGGTTGAGAAACATTTTGTATGTTTGTGGACCTACTAGATATCCATTTTTTTTTAGGTCAGTGCCAGTTTATGTTTTTCCCTGTATTTCTATAGGTCTGTTTCTTAGTAGTTTGTAGGAGTTCTTTCTGAACACTAATTGTACATCAATTATGTGTGCGACAGATACCTTCTCTCCCTCTCTGCCTTGTCTTTTCCCTCTCATATGGTGTGTTTTGGTGACTGAAATTCTTGACTTTAATGCAGTGGACATATCGGTCTTTATTTTTATGGTTAGGTCTTCCGTGTCTTGTTTAGGAAAATGTCCCCTACCTCAAGGTCATGAAGATATTCTCCTGTATTATCTCCTAGAAGCTTTAGTATTACCTTTGCATTTAGGACTTTACTCCACCTGGAATGAATACTTATGATTGGTGGGAGGGAGGGGTCCAAAACAATTTACTTCCCCTTTTGGGTACCTAGTTATCCCCAGCATCAATTTAAAAAAAAAAATCTGGGGCTGGGCCAGTGGCATAGTGCCTAAGTTTTCACGCTTTGCTTCTGCAGCCCAGGGTTCGCAGGTTTGGATCCTGGGCTCAGACCTATGCACTGCCTATCAAGCCACGCTGCGGCAGCGTCCCATATAAAGTGGAGGAAGATGGACACAGATGTTAGCCCAGGGCCAATCTTCCTCAGCAAAAAAGGGAAGGATTGGTAACAGATGTTAGCTCAGTGTTAATCTTCCTCAAAAAAAAAAAAAATCCATCCTTTCCCCAAGGCTCTGTCGTGCTAGCTTTGGTATCCATGGGGCCATTTCTGGGCTCTATTCTGGCATGTCTATTCTGTCCCATTGGTCTATTTGCACCACACAACCTAAATTAATATAGATTTATAATAAGTCCTGCACTCTGGCAGCAAAGTTTTCCCATCTGAGCTATTCTTGGCCCTTTGCACTCTCATATACATTTTAGAATCAGCTTGTTAACTGCTACCAAAAAGGCAAAAAAAAAAAAAACCTGTTAGAATTTTGATTGAGATGACATTAAATGTTTAATTTGGGGGAGAATTGTCATCTTTACCATATAAAGTCTTTCTCTTCATGAATGTAGCCCATTTTTAAAATAATTCAAGTCTACTTTAATACCTCTCAATATAATCTCATCTACAGAGACCCGGCACATCTTTAGTTTGTTTTCTTCCAGCTACTTTTCATTTTTGAAGATAAGCCACGATTGTTCCACTGCTCCCACCACGTGACCTTGACTGAGGTCTTGGGGCTACATTTAGGTCCCCAGAGTGACAGCAGCTGTGTCAGAGGGCAGGATGTCTCTATCCCCCTTCTATTTCTGGAGAACCTCTCTTTCATGTGCCAAGAACACTAACCCACTTTGGAACTATGTCTCTTCCAGGAAGAGAGAACCAAAAATCTTCATTATTTTTGGCCAGAGCTGTAAGTGGGGTGATGATATATACTATACATTTAAATTATATTACATTTTAAAAGGAATGGAGTCAGCAGCATGTTGTGCAACCACTAAAATGAGATCCAAATAAAGTTTACAATAGCATAAAACTAACACGCGCGCACACACACACACACACACACACACACAGAGTGCATACAGAAACTAGTAAAATCTGAATAAAGCCTGTAAATTGCACCACTGTCAATTTCCTGGCTTTGCTATTGTACTACAGGTATATAAGATGTTTTCTAGGGAATGTGGGTGAAACGTACATGGTCTATGTACTATTTTTGCAATTCCCTATGAATTTATAGTTATTGCAGAATTAAAAAGGTTTTAAAAAAAGTTCTTAATGGTGAATGAAAATTCCACATGTAAAATGCAAGTGATGATCAGTTTGGCTGGATTATTAGTCTGGAATTTTTTCCCAGAATCTCTTCCTTGTAGATTCTGGGTTCAAGGTGTTACAAGCGTGAGTTTGGGAGGTAGATGCGAAGTCACAATCGCACACTGAAGGTTTTTCCAGGCAGAAAGAATGATGGACAGACCCAGAGGAGCCCTGAGTGCTCCAGCATGTGCACACCCTCCTCCAAGTTCATTGTATAGTATACACATTGTCCCAACTCTAGCCCTGCTGATCAACAGTGTCCCCAGGCCACCACCAGGTGCCCAGCATGGGCCTTTCCATAAGATCCCCCTACATGGAACCACTCTGATGGCTGGATGTGCCTGGCGTATAGATTCCTGTCTTATCCACTTGTACCAATTTGTCCCCCTACACCAGTGACTTTCTGTCCCTCCAAATCCTTCTTCCTCCACACCTTCACATCCCCAGCCGCTCCCACAATCATGCAAGGTCTGATTCCGATAACAGTCCCTTCTCTTTCAACACTCCTGGTGGCTTTGCTCCTCTGATGAAACCCTGACTGACACTGACTGTACAAAACTCTCCCCCACAGTAATTTCCACTGTGTTAACATATGTGAGTAAATGGAAGACTGGAAGGAATTATGCTAAAAGGTTAACATTGGTTGCCTCACGCTAGTAGCATTATGGGTAATTTTTATTTTCTCTTTTATACGTCTTTGTATTTTTAAAGTTTTTCAAAATGAGCATTGTCATCATTAGAGTAATTACAATTACTTTAATTATTCACTGAGCATATGTAATGGCCAGGGGTCAGCAAACTTCTTTTGCAAAGGGCCAGAAAGTAAATATTTTAGGCTTTGCATGTCATTCTGTCTCTGTAGCAACTGCTAATCTCTGCCTGTGTTTGAAAGCAGCCATGAGACGATACATACCTGAATGGGTGTGGCTGTGTGCCAATAAAACTTTATTTACAAAAGCAGGGGGCCCATCAGATTTGGCTGTGGGCTGTAATTTGCCTATCCCTTAAGGCCCTCTTCTAGGGGCCATACAAATATCATTTGATCCCTCAAAATAAAACTTTGAAGCAGAGTCTCTTATTATCCTTTAAACAAACAGCCTGCCCTGTTTACACTGTTGAAGTGGCAGAGCTTCGATATGAATCTAGCAGTTCAACTGCTGATCACTGGATAGAATGCATTTCATGCACTACTGTTATTAAGAAAATATGTCTAAGACATGAAGGGAGGGAAACCTCAATACTATACAAAAAATCTTAAATATCTGACCCTCTAATGTTAAATCTTCTGAGGGCTGCTCAACCCTATCAGACCCAATCCACCTGCTTTCTCTTTTTTTCTTTTTGGTATTTAATCCATCAATAAATTAGAAGGAGAAGGAAGATACAGGATCCACCAATGAAGTGACTCTCACCCAAAGGTAAACGTAATTCACCGGCACCATCGTGATATCTGTGCTGAGTGCGCTGACCAAATCCACAATCTTCCCTCCAGTTTCCTCGTTGACATGGTCCTTGATAAGCTGGGTTGTGCCCGCAGAGTCGTGGAATTTAGTGCAGAAGAGTCTGGAACCATAGAAGGCCTCGGTGTTGTTAAGGTACCTCTGAAGGAGTGCCAGCTCCTGGCTCAGGAATAGGGTGCTACCCATGCGTGTCTCCAGACTGTCTCCAGGGGGGTTGAGAGTGTGCAAGGGGGTGTGGAAGCCCCGGTGGGTGTCGGCCTTGCACATCTCCTTGAGGTTGAAGCCTAGACCCTTGAGGATCTGGATCCGGCTGTGTGAGAGAGCCCCCAGGGACAGCCTGGCATAGGCGGCAGAGATGCTTAGCAGGGAGAAGATGTTGTTCCAGAGGGTTTGCGAAGCCATCAGGCGGAAGAGGCAGAGGGCAAAGGCGGTATTGCCCGGGGCAGTCTTGAGGCTGGAGGAGCCCTCACCAGTGCCCGGAGCCTCCTGATGGGGGCTGTCGGTGTGACCCTGGCCGGCATGCTCAGGGTGCAGCCGACTGTGAGAAAGGCCCAGGAGCCCAGCCAGGAGGAGGAGTAGGTGGTCGGCAAGATGCATCTTATCTGTTCTCAGGTCTATAGGAGGAAAGGGAATGCCCAGGAAATTCCCTAGCAGAACACCCAACCCTACTGAGAAGTCAAGTGGTGGCAGGGCCCCGGGGTGGTAGGTGACACCCTCAACTCTTGCAGATGGGCCTGGAGCAGACCAGCAAACTCCCAGCACCCCCCACGTGTGTGATGACAGTGACATCCTGTGGCCCTGCTTTAGATTTACAAAGATTTGCTTTCACATCTCATTTCATTTCCCAGCTCTGTGAGCTCTGCACAGCCCTGGACTCCATTCTCACTACAGAGATGGGGAGACAGAGGCTGCAGAAGTGCCTTAATCAAGTCACCTAACTTGTCAATATCTGAGCTAGAACACAGGTCTCTGGACTCTCGGCCTGGGGCACCTTCCGCCTGATGAGTTTATTTCCTTTGCCCGGTGACTCATTGCTCCAAGAGTGCTAATCGCCAAAGGTTATTTTTGCATTTACTCCACAGACATCCGTGGTGTGCTTTATAGCTTATGAAATCACTTCTATGTCATTCTGTTTGACCATCTTACCCAGGTAGAGAACAGTCAAACTGGCATTCTTATCACCACCCCCTACAGAAGAGATCACTCATGTTCAGTATACGTTTTACCCAAAGTCCCAAGGATAGCATTGGTCCCTTTTCCTAAGGAATGTAACCTGCCCCGAACAAGATGCTCGATTTTCTCCATCAGATCTGCTCTGAGCCATCAAATGGCCCTACCGTTATCTGGTTCTCAGCCCCAAAACCCAGTTGTCATCGCTAACATCTGTCTGGCCTTCCATCCACCCCTACCCGCTTCAATCTATCGGCATGCACTGCAGGATATTCTGTCACCGTCTCAGACCCCCCATTGCTGTGATCCACATTCAAGTCTGCAAAAATCCTTCACTGGGTCAGAAAACCTTTTCCGTAAAGGGCCAGATAGTAAATATCTTGGGCTTTGGGGGCCATACAGTCAGCGTTGTTTCTACTCAACTCTGCTGTGCCAGCTGGAAAGTGGCCACAGACAAGGCATGCACAGATGGGTGTGGCTGTGTTGTGGTAAAATTTTATTTATGAATGCTGAAATTTGAATTTCATGTACATTTGATGTGTCACAAAATACTGTCCTTCTGTTGATTTTTTTCAACCATTTACAACTTTTATATTTATGTTTTTATCTTGCATTCTTAGTTCATGGGCAATACAAACATTGTATTTTTTTGTTACTGTATTACAGATCCACGGGCTGTAGTTTGTGGACCCCGACCATAGGCCACTGCAGTCTTGTTTTCCGTACAGCTGTTGGAGTGATCAGTTAAAAACACACGTTGGACCACTTCGCTCAGCTACTCAACACCCCTCCCCGCAACATGGCTTCCTACCAACCTATAACCCCCACCCCCTCACCCCGACTCTGTCACTCTCCCACCCCTGCCCCCAGCCCTCATGTGCCTCTCTCTCGGGCTTTACAATGAGATCACCCAGAGGTCTCCTCTGGCAGGAGCTCTTCAAAAGCACCTGGATCCAGAGCCAGAGACCTGTGTTCCAGGCTGTGTGGCCTCGGGAGAGGCGGATCCAGTTCTGCGCACTAGTTCCCCCACCAGTGCAGTGAGGAGGTTGGTGCATCATGTGTAGGGGGCTTTCTAGCCCTGGGATTTGTGTCCTCTAGGTAGGGTGACCAGTTGCCCCAGTTTGCCCAGTACGTTCCTAGTTTTAGCACTGAAAGTCTTGTTTGCCAGAATTCCTAGTCCTGGGCAAACCGGGTGGTTGGTCATCCTCCCTTTAGAGTCTCCACTGTGGCCTTCAGAGGGTTTCTCACAGCACAGTGGACCCCCTGCAACTCTCTGAGCTCTGGAGGTGGGGCAGGGACATGGCTCGGGTTGATCAAGCCCAGGAAGACTAGAGAAACCTCCCAGCACCACCTCCCACCTCCCCGATTAGGTAATTCTTAATGAGCAGACCCGTGGGTGCAGCACGGTCTCCACCCAGAGAGGAAGCTCACTGGGTGTTGGCTCACCTCCTCCCAAGAGAATCCCCTCTTCCCTCCCGGGGAGACCCCAAGAGGGTTCACTGCTTCCTGTTTGTGTTATGTGTTGAGGTTTGCCTGACACTTGTCTCTCCTTGAGGCCCATGGGAACCCCTTAGTGGGTCTGGTCCCCTCTCTGGGTTTTTGTCACACTCCCCTCCATTTCACCACAGCCCCAGCAAAATGAAGAGTTGGACCAGACCTGGGCAACAGACTCCAGCGCCTTCACGAACCTGGTAAAGCTGCTTCCAGGGCGACATGGTGGGGAATGGAGGGCATGTGGGACTGGAGACAGTCCACTCTCTGCAGCCAGACAAGACCCATCTGGGGCCTGGATGCCACCCAGGGCCTCCAGTTTGCGCTCCTGGGGTATATGATTTCCGAGGAGCCTTCCAGCTTTAAATTGCGTGATTCTGTGATGGAACCTGCTGAGATGTCATATGTAGGACTTCTAGGACAATGCCTCCCAGGGGCCAGGGTGGTGTGGGGTGGGAGCAGATCTCTCCTTGGGCCAGGAATCCAATTGCACATTTTCTCTTTAATTAAAGCTTGAAGGTGCTTTCTCTCCAGTAGTCAGGGAGCCTCAGCCCCTTTAGACAATCCTGGGGTGGCTGGATGTGTGGGTGACGTCTGGCTGTTTCTCAAGCCATTTGGGGAAGGACTACAGGGAGCGATGTAGCCCTCGGTGTCACATCAAGATGTGAATGAGATACCCTGGCCCATTCAGGCTTCCTCTAGTAGACTGTTCTGAATGTTTCTCCAGGTACGTGGGGCCTGGACTTGAGTGGACTATATACCATTGAGCAGCAAGATCGTGCTGGGAGCCCTGAGCTGGGCAGAGCACAGAGTGGCAGAGCAAATCCAAACACAGGCCTGGACCCAGGCAGCCTGGGGCCCAAATCCCAGCTCTGCTGTTTTGCTCAGAGAGGTTCAGGGTCACGCCCAATTTCACATGACAAAATGCACAACACCAGGGCAAGAGAGGACTTGGTGTGCCAGAGAAGAGGGAGAGCTATTATGTCACTTAATTCTCCCTCTCTCTCTCTCTCTCTCTCTCTCTCTCTCTCTCTCTCACACACACACACACACACACACACACACACACACACGGGCTACTGTCCTTATCTCATTTTACAGATCAGAAAACTAAAGGCCAGAGTAGTTAGCTCAGATTCCAGAGTCAGTATGTGCGCCCTGGCCTATTCTGCGTGGACACACCTGTCACTGCGCTGGAATGTCAGCTCAGGTTTTGTTGACTGCTGTAACCCAGATACTCGAACAGGTGTGGCATGCAGTCTCTGCTCCATCAATATGTACTGAGTGAATGCAGAAAGGAAAGATAGTTATTGGTATCTGGTCTCATCAGTGTGAAAATATATTCCCTTTACAATAGTCTACCATTTGGGGTTGTGCTTCCTTAGACTGGCTTCTACAGAGCTCGACCTCAGGCCCACTGGTGTTTCCTTCTTCCTTTCCAGCTTCCTGCAGAGGTGGAGAGCAGGGAGTCGGGGCTCTGCCTGGGTTGGATCCCAGCTCCACCGCTGATCGTTACTTACTCCGCCTCATCATCCTAATCTGTAAACTGTGGGCAACAATTGTTCCTAAATGTCAGGGTTAGGGTGTCATGAGGAGTCAGTAAACCCATGTCCATAAAGTGCTTAGAATAAGGTCGTGCAATATGAGTGTGAATAATTCTGTCTCATTATTCCAGATGGCTTTTGCACTGTGTACCCCAAAATGTATGAATATGGCTAAATCAGTGTTTTCAAACTTCTTTGCATTGTGGTCCCAATAGAGTTTCTTAAGAAAGATTTGGAGTCTCCCTGAAATATGCACAGACACACAACATTTTACAATTTAGGGAGATTTGGATCCCACAACGGTCCTGTGGTCCCTGCGTGCTGGGACAGCCATTTCTCCCTCAAGGCGTCTTGTATAATGGAAAGGTGGAAACGACCTTCAGACCTTCACAGGGAGTCACTGGCTGCGAGTGTGGAGGCGCAGGCGGCTGTGGCCATCTGCACGGGCAGCAGGCTGCGCTCAGCCGCTAGCCTGGAGCTCACTCCCGCCCAGCAGCCTGGCTGCTTCTGGCCCTAAGGCCTCTGGGAGGGCCTGAGGATTGTGCAAACCTTGCACGGCACATCCTGGAATGACATGGGTTTCTCATTAATCGTCTGTGAGGTCCAAGCAGGCAACAATTCATGTCACAATCGTATCTGTATTTCCATGTGAGAACAGGCCTGGCCCAGAGAAGATGCTTCATAAAAGTCAGTGAATGGATGAATGAGTGAAGACAAACCCGAGGCTCTGCTCAAAGCTCCTGAAAACTGCAAAGATCTCAGCAGGACCAGTTTATTTATTTATTTTATTTTTAATTTTTTTGTTTGTTTGTGAGGAAGATCGGCTCTGAGCTAACATCTGCCAATCCTCCTCTTTTTGCTGAGGAAGACTGGCCCTAGGCTAACATCCATGCCCATCTTCCTCTGCTTTATATGGGAGGCCGCCACAGCCTGGCTTCCAAGCGGTGTGTCAGTGCGCGCCTGGGATCCGAACCGGTGAACCCCGGGCAGCCGCAGCAGAGCGCACGCACTTAACCACTTGCGCCACCGGGCCGGCCCCTCAGCAGGACCAATTTAAATGACAGAGGAAAAGCTAGCTGACCTGGAAGTCCAGAGTGGAAGTGGGGAGAAGGGGCTTGACCATTTCTCTTTGTCCCCCAGAAAGGCCAGTGGAAAGGCCACTGCTCCAGGTGGGGCTGCTGCCGTGGCAGGGTCGAGGTCCCCGAGGGGAAGCTGCTTTTCCCAGCATCTGAGCAGCAGCCTGAGCTGTGCTGCAGTCATGAACCCCACTCGCTTGGGACCCGCCCTCTGTCACTCTGCAGCGTGAGGCCCAGCCCTTTCTCTGTGGATGCCCTGGCCTCCAAAGCTGGCACAGGTGTACTGCTAAAGCTATCCTTCCACCTAACCATTCCC